AGAAATCCATCCACTTGCTCCTCCATAGATGTCAAATACTCGCAAGCTCTGTTCATCCATGTTCAATGGGACAGGCATCTGAATAGACGCTGATGCTTCAAACAACACCGAAGCGCCGCCGGTGGGGTTCGCATTTGTCTTCTCTGACATCATGTTGGATAACCCAGTCCTTCAGGGACAAGCGTTTATTCAGCAAAGTCAAGTCGACGAAAATGATAGCATGTTTGACAAGCCAACCTCCTAGATATAAATTGCACGTTCAAATCCAGCGAGCCAGATTGACTGGCCTTTACTACAGGATTCATCTATTGAAACCTGTTGGGCTATCATTAAAGAGGGAGTGAAATCGTTGTGCGCCCGATTGGTACCCCTCAAATTTCGGAAAGTTGGGCCAGTCAAACCACATTGGTTTGACAAAGAGTACAACAAAATGGCCCGACGGCGACGTAGACTATGGAACAAGTTCGTGTTATCTGGCTCTGTTGAGGACTACAATGCGTACAAGGTACAACGAAATCGCTGCAACAACGCGAAAACAAGCAAACGCAGAAGCTTCGAAGAGGAGCTTGCAACTGCAGCAAAAACTGCTCCCAAGAGGATCTTCGCATATGTGAAGCGGCGCCTAAGACCTATAGCCAATATCCCAGTGTTAGAAGGGTCCGATGGGCAGCCCCTAACCTCGAGTACAGATCGTGCGTCAGCATTGGCAACGCACTTCGCCTCCGTATTCGCAAGTGACCAGGTATCTGTAATGAGTTCAACGAGCACCGCTCCAGACGAACTTAACAGCCTGGACTGCAATATTGAGGATGTGCGCAAGATTCTAGCAAATCTTGACGGGACGAAACCTGCTGGGCCAGACGGTATACACCCACTAATCCTCAAGTCATTATCGACCATAATTGCACCTTCTGTAACTGAACTGTTTAACAGGTCACTATCCACTGGTCTACTACCGGACGACTGGAAATGCTCAGTCGTGAAGCCTATCCCGAAAGGTGGTAACCCAAGCAAAGTGGATAACTACCGGCCGATCTGCCTGACGGCAGTTTTGGCAAAGACCCTCGAGAAGATCGTGAAGAAGAGCCTTCTGCAACTTATAGAGTCGAAAAACCTGTTAACCACCGCACAGCATGGTTTCCTGAAAGGTCGTTCGTGCATCACCAACCTACTGTTGACGAGGCACGAATGGTTACAAGCGCTGAACAAAGGCCAATCGGTTGACGTCATTTACATTGACTTCAGTAAGGCTTTTGACAAGGTTAACCATGCAGTGCTCCTTGACAGACTGAGGATGTGCGGTGTTGGTGGTTCGCTGCACAAATGGATCAGCAATTTCCTTATTGATCGGAAGTGGAGAGTCCAGGTGGACAACCATCTAACCGACTGGTATCCATCAAGCAGCGGCGTGCCCCAAGGCACTGTACTGGGCCCGATATTGTTTCTAATCCATATAAACGATGTGCCTCAGCTACTACAATCACATTGTGCTTTGTTCGCAGATGACTTGAAAGTGTGGAGAGTAATCCGCACACTCAATGATTGCGATTTACTTCAGCAGGATCTCGACCGCCTCTCAACATGGTCTGCAGAGGTTAACCTTCCGATCAACCCTGCCAAGTCGCAATTCATGAGGTTGGGTAAGTATGATCACGGCCGAACGTACACAGTGGCTGGTCAACCGTTGCATCCCGCTCCTTTCGTGCACGACCTCGGTGTACTCTCACGCTGTGACCTAAAGTCCATTGACAACACGAAAAGGCTGTACCAAAACAGCCTTCGTATGCTTTGGGCTCTCAGGCGCAGCTTTAGCACTTGGTCCGAAGAGATTGCTTCTCGCCTCTTCGTCTCGATAATACGACCAATGCTGGAGTACGGCACTCCCGCATGCTGTCCCATCACCCGGGGCGAAGTAGAAAAGCTTGAGCGGGTGCAGCATGTAGCCACCAGGCTGATTCCCAACTTACGAGGTATGTCATACGAAGACCGATGTAAGAAACTAGGGTTATACACCCTATCTTATCGTCGGCTGAGGGTTGACCTCATCATGACGCACCGGATATTACATCTGGGTGATTACCCCATGTTGAGACAACTACTTCATCTGCGCACGCCAAGCTGCACGCGAGGACACCGGTATAAACTTATCGTCCCGGATTTGAAGCGGGTCGCCCATCAACTCTGTTTTGAACGCAGAGTGGTGAATGTCTGGAACGACCTGCCTCAGCATATAGTAGAAGCCAACACAGTGTCTCAATTCAAGATGCTACTAGACCGACAATTTGCAGAGGCAAAGTACAGAGAGCGAAGCGATTAATAAAGAGTTCATGTCCGAAAACGACGAATGATGCAGCTACACAGAGCAACCTCTACTCGCTGCTTCCCACCAGTTCTCAGTTCTTATATATATATATATATATATATATATATATATATATATATATATATATATATATATATCACTCAAGGGATCGACAAAAAGTGGTCGCCTTGGACAGATGGTCGCCACAGAGTTCATGCATAGGGAGTACTACTCACCATCGATTGCGCATGTGTACTACGCTTACAAATGCAAACTAGGTCCGTACACAGACACCGATAATTAATTTTAGTCTTCGAATTAAAGCAACAACAGTAGAATTATATACCGTGGGATGTATATGTAATAAAAAAGGAAAAAGCTACAGTTTATAAGTAGACATTATAAAAAGCAGCCTGCAAATCCGCGCAATCCACAAATTTTAAATAACACACACACACACACACACACACACACGCTTCTATGGCCCGTAACATTTTCCACCAGATGAAAAAAAATCAAGTCTGTTGCTTTGTAACTGAAATGAAAGATGAAATTGGCTTTTCCCTCAGGTTCATGATAGATGCAAGCATGTCAGTGAGTCCTCTACTAGTTGGGTAGGAGCGCAAGATATCAACAGCGTCTGTGAATGTATAGGCTGACAGAACGTCTGCAGAATCTTGTTCCTGCTCGTCGTCTGATACACTATTCCCATCCTCAGCTGCCAAAATCAAGATGCCAGGAAAGTCCCAGTTTATTTCCGTTGCGTTACAAGTTTGGAGATTTGAATCAACTATGGGGCTGTCAGTAAGCTGACATTCAAACAATTCCTTTGAAGGGTAATCCAATGCGGTAGAGGGTGCAGGAGGTTTAATTTGCTCGTCTGCATTACGTCCAGTTTGCATTGTCATTTGAATCGATGTCTGCAGGATAACGAAACCCTACCTTGCAAAAATACTTGGATTGTTGAGTTCTCCACCTCCATGAACGCGGCAAAGATCCAGACCACGACGTTCAATAAATTTACTCTTTCATGAGTGCAGTTCCCGACCTATCTTCGTGTGATTCCATGATGGTAATAATATGTAGAAGCTATCTTTTCGAAAAGTTAATTAAAATGCGTGAATGACGCCCTGATCGAGGGGAACTAGCGATGTGGTTTTGGGAGGTAGGAACTGTAGTTGGACATTCTTTAGCTAAGATGGCAAGTGGCATTATCAAGGAACAAAATGATGTTACGCTTTTTGTTTCATTTATTTGTCAAAGCTTTTAAACCAACCTTTAAAAATAACTGCAGTCAGACATGCCATTTTAGTATCCTTGTAAATTACCCGTAGTATTTTTCACGTTGATTTAGAAATTCGAGGGTTTGCCGATTTCTCAATCACTAAGGCCGGTACCTGCTCGCCAGAATGTTAGCACACAGCATAACTGTGATTCGCTCCTTGTTTCTTTGCCCACTTGCACATTTTTCCCGTCTGACAAAAAATAGGTTTTTTCACATGCCGCTTTGATTAACAGCCCAATTTCATCCAAATTATAAATGTCTTGAGCTGCGTAACCACAACATATTTCGGGTGATTGTGCTATCCAGCCTGATGCAGCACACATATCTGAGTCAGCGCTTTCGCCAGATTGCCTACCAAACACAAGGTTGTGTTTATTGGTGAAGGCCTGCAGACAACCGTTTGATGCCTTAAAGTTCGAGTTGTTAAATTGTTTCGCGAAGTGCAAGGCTCGAGAAGATAAATGTGCCATCAGGACCATGCCTGTAATGATATGGAAAACTGATTGTTCACAAAATAGAGAAAAACGAGTGTTTTTCTCTGCTTTGTTCTTTCTTTAAGGGTTTTACACAAACCGTTTTGAAATTTTTGTTGAAAATGCACATTTGGATGAAGGGGAAACGTTTGAACAACACCGACGCCACTGACTTCGGTTAAGAGCCATAGTCCCCAATACGTGCAAACAGTTGGATTTCCAAACACGTGGACCCTAACCTGGAAGGCCGCTAGATCCTGAGGATGCCAAAAATGAGGGGACATTATTGTTGTTCTTTTTCCAAGTCATCGGTTGTTTCCCCGGCATTTTCAATCACGCCCAGGAATTGCAAATAATGCTCGGCAAGGAAATCGGTTGGCTGGTATGTGCATAATATGACTCAATCAAAGTAAACGGTGTTCGAGGGTGACGTCTTAGAGGCGGAGATTGTTCGCTCAGAGTACTCGGCTTCTAACTTCCGAGTGGCTTACATCCAACACACACGAGTGAACGTTCGCAAGCAGCAGTTGTCGAAAGGTGGTCGTTTAAGATTTTCTGCGCGAACAGGTCAGGTCTCGCAGCCGTACAGCAGGACCGCACGGACAATGGCACTGGACACTCAGTCTTTGAGCCTCAGACTGATGTCGCAGAGACGCCACTAATGTCTCAGGGTAGAACGGATACCAATAACTTGGAGGCAACCGAAATGAGACTGATCCCGCGGTGATTAGCGCATGAAGTGGCAGCATTCTCCTTAAAAATAGGGACAATAACTAATTCAAAGGCGGATAAAGCGAAATGAATATTCCCACTTCTAATTTTCACCCAGTATGGGACATGGAACATACAAATCCGGTTCAAGGGAAAAGCACCACAAAAGATTCAAGAATATCAAATGGCAGCGAGTTATTAGTAAGTTGGATGCGATTGCACTACTCACCTATTTCTTCGTGCGCGACGTTCAGATCACCACTGACTATGACTGGTTTCACAGCGTCTAGTTTTTTCACGTACTGCAGGAACGCAGGGTCCCATTGATGTTGCCGATAAGGCAACCTTACTAAACCCTGACCGGAGTTGGGAACGTCTGGAAAACAAGCAATTAGGTGCATAAAAGAGACGTACATGCGGTGATTAGATAAAACTTTTCATACTCTGCTGTGATAACCCTTCCTTCAACATCATGATTTGACACACCGATACCATAGAAGACACTGATTGGCTCTAATTTGGAGTATAGACCGGTGCCGGAATAACCTTCTTTCTGAGCAGAGGACCAGTATATCTTATAGCTCGAAAGGTTAGCATCCGCAGGGGTTTTTGTCAGTGAGCACTTTGTTTCCTGAATTCCTAAAATATCGGGCGTCTCTTCTTCGACGTATCCAAGACCACCAGACTACAATGGCTTAGAGTTAGAACAAATCCTGTGGGCAATACCTTAAGCCAAGCACGCAGGCCGTTCACATTCCATGAGCATATCTTCAAGTTCCACTTGTTAAGACTGGGTGAAATCAGCGAGGGAAGACTACCGGGGTAGGTAGAGCACCATGAAAACTGAAAATTCTGCAAACGATGCTAAAAGACAAAGATTAAAATACCTTTTTCTCAGTTCCGTTACACTCATCAGGTGTCTTGGTGTTCTTCTTGCTATCAGTGGTAGCTCGTGTACGTTTGGAAGCTTTTTGTCCTTTGGGATCGTCCGCAAGCTTCGCGGAAGTGCGCTTTCCCATAAGTAGAAAACAAAGTGATCTTTGACGCAGGATCAATTCGGACTGCACACGTAATCACCGGGTAGGGAAACTAACTCTGGTGTGTTCTTAAAAAAACCGACGCTAGGGAGCAATATAAAAAAGTGTGTGGACAGATCAAGCACGTTCATAGCACAAGTACCGGCAACACAATAAAAAAATTTGATGTAAGTTGTAAGAAGATAAATATACGCCGGTCTGTAGCCTAGAGGATCACGAGCCTGTCGTGTGGTCTGAAGGCGCGTAGATGATGAGGCTACCCTCGCAATATGGGTAGCCCACGCGTGACTTTGTGGTTACGGAGCAGTGGAGCGTCAGTACGCAGTACCGACGTACTACTGACACCACATCCGATATACGTATGTACAAAACATCTCAGGCAGTGAAAACGTAAGTGACCATCAAGAGCAGAACGCCAATTCAAAAAGGCACCACACAAACGGATTGAAAGTGACAAAAGCGAGGGTACCACCTACGAGAAATGAGTCGGTAAGGTGTGGAGCGTGTTGTGCCGCGAGTAAATCCTCACTGTGATTCCTGATAGTACCACCGGACAGTTAACGATCCGATTTCCCTCCGCTTCTGGATTGAAATCGGTGAATGGGAAACGAAGTCTCTAAAGTCAGAGAAAAAGGAGTTATGCAGGTGTGAAAATCGTGCCTAGCGTTATTTATCACATTGCTTCATTATTATTCCGTTTCATAGTTTTAGTGTTGTAGACAGCAAAAGCAAAAAGAGTCGTGTAAGCTGTTTCACCTCCCATTCACTGGCTAGATGATGCGTGTCGTGGTTAAATTGTGTTCCCTGTGGGATCACTACAACTGCAACAAAAACAGCGGAATCCAGGCGCTTGCAGCATGTATTTATCCAACCGCTGTTTGAAACACTTCTCTGTCTGGACACTGACAACATATTCCGAGAGGTTGTTCCAATGATTCACGAGCCGGGTGGATAAGGTGACATCGGAAAGGACATGGGGCTTCCGCGGTTTAAACAGTTTCCAACTGTAGCCGTGTCGAGTTATCTACATTGAGTTGGAATAACTATTGCACCTCCGTCCCCAAGTGTCCTATTAAAATGCGTCTAGTGTATGTCAGATCACCACGGCGACAAAGATAGTCCATAGAGAACAAGTTTACACTTTGAAGTGGAAGGGGATATGACAAATCACGCAGCACTGATACAGACTTGAATCCACGCCTCTGAATCTTCGGGATTAAAGCGTACACAAACATTGTGAGAGGATGTATAGCAAGTAGTCCCTGTTCCAGCAATGGACAGACGTGGGAAGGAGACCGAAGCCTGAAGAGCTTAGGCGTCATTTTTGAGAATGACCTTCGTATGAGACAGAGTGCTCTGTCGGCGGATGTGACTTTGCGCAATGTGTCCGGGGTTGTTTACAAGTTCGGAGATACAATCATATCCAGGTTGTCCTCAGAAAGTGCGTTGCTCAGCAGGGAACCACCAATGTGGTAGGCGAAGAAAAGTTCTCGAGAACCGATTGGAAGAGCACAGAATTTATCGCAGTGATGGGTAACCGCCACTTAACAGACCAGTCGCGCAACAAATAAAGCATCAGTTGTAATTTGTCCGAATCTTCGAGCTTAGGTACCAATGACCATAGTTTGAGATTATCGGTGAAGAGCAGGCAGTCAGTTTGAAGCACTTCTGGAAGATCGTTAATGAAGAGGTTGAAAAGTTCAGAACCAAGGACGCAGCGCTGTGGAACCCAACTAGTCGTGCGAACAGGCCCAGAGAGAACCTCATTAATCTTCACCCTCATGGTACGACCATCCAGGAAATCAGTGCTCCAGAAGGGAACACTGCCGGCCATGCCAATCTTTCGGAGTATGACAAGGAGCCGTTCAGGTGGAATGCTATCAAATGCTTTGCTAAATCAATAAAAACAACATTAAGGCGAGCATCGAAATCCACAAACTGCCTACTCGCGGGCAACAAGTAAGTCAGTGATACAAGAGCATGCCCTCTGGAAACCGTGCTGAGCTGGAGTAATGATGTCAAGCCAGGAGATGAAATTGAAGGGATATTTTAAAAGTTCTTTCCACTGTCTTGCAAATGATCGACATCAGGCAGATCGGTCTGTAGCACAAGGATCCCTTGATTTCCTCCTTTGTAGATAGGTTTCGCAATACCTACTTTCAAATCAAGCGGAAGTCAACCGGTCTCCAGAGAATGCCGAAACAATTCGCACATTGGTTAGGCAACATAGCCACTGTCTTCAGGACAAAAGAGGTAATTCACCAGGACCTAGCTAGAAGTTCGGAGTTAATTCGAGCATTCTCAGCACCATGTTCGTGGTAATGTCGATGTGCTCCAAGGGAAAGTTACTGAATATCGGGATCTCGGCCGAGTACACTGATGAATATTGCGAGGCAGGAAGACAGGCTTTCCCTTAATCGTCATAGATCCATCATATTGCGACGACAAGGTATGCCACAACCCGTCATAGTAATTTTTCCGGGTACGAGAAGAGCTTTTTTAAGTCACTGCAAGATTGCTCAACCAAGTGAGGCTCATACTGTTCCCTCTTCCTGCGTTTTTTCAGTGTACACAAATTGCTGAGCACTTTGTAATCATAATAGTCAGACGCTAATCATGAGAACTTGAATCTATCCCACAGTTTTCGTTTTCTACCCAGTAGATTCTTAGGTCTCTACCAATTCGAGGATGACCTTTGGAAAAAGATTTGCCAGCAACGGTTAGTAAAAATTCGTCGATAACAGAGATTAATTTGAAGCGAAGAGGGTTCCAAGCAGTATCGAGATTCAACTTCTGAGGAGTACTCCAGCCCATAGCACCCGCGTCCATTTGTAGGCGGAATGGAACGACGCTACAGAAGTTTAAGTGAGGTATACCTCGATACTGAATGATGGGTCGTCTTGTGCATAGAAAAGAAAGCACGTAATGATCAGTTAACCTCTAAAGCAGATATATCGGATGGTTGAGGCACGAACATGAGATGGAGAATGTGCGGCGATTGGCCCGAAATTATCTGAATGAGTGACTAGACATGTTCAGTTAGAGCAACATCAAGCATAGTTTCGAGTAGGCCAGATTCTGAGGCGGGATCACAATAAAGTAAGCCTCAGTTGACGCTGGGGGCATTGAAGTTTCCCATTAGTAAGCAATCTTAGTCGCTGTTGTGTATTTGTATCGAGTCCAGCAATCAGGATCCAGACCAGTGGGCGGGGGGGCTGTAAACAACACAAACCATGAGCGAATTTCGTCCGTCGTGGATACATCAGTTAGTTAGTTGGTTCAACAACTATGAACCGAGCACCGAAGTGCGGTGGATACAGTTGCCAAAACTCACGTCGCAAGAATAATAATAAAAACAACGGTAAGATAGTGAGGTTAAAGGCGAATAGAATGTAAAGAATGGAAGTAAGAAAGCGATTTAACGCAACACAGAATGGGACAAAAATGAACAAGGTGCAAGAAACTGGATGCGAGAATGCCACTGATTGAATGACTGCGCCATGCCTGATACGGTCTCCAACCAATGGTATGGACCATCCTGAGGTTCCCATCTACGAAAACGGCAAGCACCGGCCTGACCAAAATTCAGTCAATTTCTTCATGCCACTATGCCACGTCATGGACTGGCCAACACGCGGTATCACGCAACTTGTTGCGGACAGAGCGTGCAATGTACGCCGAGAAATACGGTCAACGGGCATACGCAGAACATGGCCTAGTCAAGGTATGTATGTAATCTCAACAGACTAGTAACTAGACATAGAGCCAACAAAGCCATAGAAATCAGTGGATAGGAGAGAGTCATTGCGTCATAATCATCGTGGCATGCTAGTTAAGGTGGGTAACACACTTCAGCTAATATGCAGCAAGAAAATGGAACATTTTTACGAAAATACAGAACAAAACATTTTTAGTTTGTTTGTCACACGCCGAGTTTCCTCTTTTTTATCATTTTCAATGTTGGTAGTATTAAACATGTGAATCAATATAACACTGTACACAATTCTTCCACTGATTCCGGTTGCGGGCCATGTCTTCAAGAGTGCTAAGCCATTGGCACTCCTCATCTTTGGGTCCCCATCCTGGAAGACGTACGGATCCAACAGCGGCTAGACGCGACGTCAGCAATTTCATGTACTGCCGCCAAGTGGAAGGTTGACCACCACGCGGTCGCTTCCAGCCAGGTCCCTGACGAGTGAATAGAGCGCGACGCGGTAGACGATCAGGTGCCATGCGAAGGACATGACCGAGCCATCTTAACTGGCGCAACAAAACCAGTTTGTTGAAGGAAATGCATTCCCCAAGATGCGACGTCGAACGTCATTACTATGAACTCGATGTTGCCACCGAACACGAGCGATCCTCCTTAAGCAACCGTTATCGAACGCAGAAAGACGACGCATGTCTTCCACGCGAATCGGCCAGGACTCGCTCCCATACAACAATACTGAGCGAACTGATGCGCTGTAAATGCGGCCCTTTAGTGAGAATGAGACGTCACGACGACGCCACAAGTGCCTCATATTGACAAATGCTGATCGAGCTTTAGCGATACGAAGCGAAACTTCTTTGTTTATAGTGCCGTCAGCGGAAACACAGCTCCCAATGTAGACGAAACTATCTACCTGTTCCCTAGCCAAGGTAAGCGATTACGATTCCGCAAATACTCCAGTGTGGCACTAAAAGACTACCTACCAAAACCAACTGGCCGGCCACAGCTTTGCTCACCCGGTGTTCCCATTAAAAGTGAATAATACTCCGCAAGCACCGGAGATCAAAGACGGCCAAGTGTTGGATGTCTTCACAACGAACTGACCAGGTCTCTGATCGATACAATAAGACCGGCCTCAACGCAGCGTTCTACACCCTACCTTGCATCGACAGGCTGATATCACACCGTCTCCATAGATGATTGAGTGTGTGTGGAAAGTCACATGGGCCTTGCTGGTACACGAAGTAACTTCCACAGTGATGTGATCAACAGAGGCGACACGGCTACCAAGGTAAGTGAACCGATCTACCAGTTCCGATGGTTGTTCAGTGATAGCTAGAACCGGTGTGTCGGACCGGCCCTAAAGCAGCATTTTGCCCTTAAAATGAAAAGCAGATGCCGAAGTGTGCGGCGCAACGCATCAGTTTATCCAGTAGGGTGTACACAGCCACTGCGTCGGATCCAAGACGTGCCATGTCGTCCGCATACTCCAGGTTTGTCAGTCGGTCACCTGATAAAAATTCCACTCTGGAAGTCAGAAAGAAAGGAGACACTCATGATCAGTACGTCAAAGTTGAAGAGGAAAGGAGATATCGGACAAACCCGGAAAACCCTACTTGTCGTAGAAAAACTCAGGAGATCATCATCATCATCATACACGATAGATGCAGGTGGAAAACACCTCAGCTATTGTGCCGCAATACAAAAGGCAAGAAAAGACAACAGAGGCACGCCGGCTGAGTCCTCAGTAACGGATAAACATGGTTCCGGAGAGTTAACAACCGGCTATCATGCCGTAAAAAGAGAGTAATATAACGCCTAGCGAATGAGATCGTGATTGGAGAGAAATGCTAGGCAGGAAAGATAGACACAGGAACTCACAACACAAACACTATTGGGGTCGGCTCCTAGCCATATCAGCAACTGTACCCAACCAAACGTCGGCCGGTGACCGAGTGGTTGGTACGTTTGTTTTTCAACCATAAGGTCACCGGTTCGAATCCGCGTAGGGGTGGGCGTCCTCGCGGTATACTCAGCCCGCGCGCGACTGGTGGTGGTCGCGCGGCAGCGAAGCGCCGTTACGGCGTATAAGCTGACAAATTTCATTTCATTTTCACCCAACCAAACGTGTTCATTGTCCTTGCGATCCCAGCCAGGCAGTCGCGATGCATCATCCGAAGCCAACTTCGAAGTGAGGCCTTTATTTCTCCCGATCAAGTCAGCCCTTGGTCTCCTCTGCTTCACTATCAACCGCACGAGCGGCGCGAAAACAATGCACGTCGCGGGAGTCGGTGTGCTGACATGCGCAACACTTGGCTCAGACATCGAAGCCTGGTGCGTGATATGGTGCTGAGCGGTTCACTCGCTCTTCCTGCACCAAATACGCGACGCCGAACACGCGTATTTCTCACGCGATGCTCACACCAGACATGAGCTAAGCTGTGAAGATCGAACGTGACCAGCCTATTTATGTCTGTCGACGTGATGGCCCAGGTTTCACAACCGTATAAGAGGGTTGAACGGGCGGCTGCATTATAAACTCTGTCCATCAGGGAGAGAGTAATGTCGCATCTGCGCCACACGTGGCGGAGATTGGGAAAAGCACCTCCAACTTACGCTATACGGTTCGTAATCTCAGCTTCGATCCGAAGGGCGCTAATATAGCTGCCCCGATACTTGAATTCCTGAATGACTTCTAGCTGATCACCACCAAGGGTCAGCGCAGGGATGGTTCCTGCCAATCTTAGAGAGGAATCTTGCATTTCGATGGAGCAAAACATATCCCAAAACGATAGACGGCTAGTGCAGCCTGGCATGTTTGGACGCCGTCACATATGAAGGCAATGTCGTCCGCATACTCCATGTCGTGTCCAGCGAAAGCTGTCTCCATGACTCCATCAGTAGCGTGACAGGGGGCAACCTTGTCTCACACCGCTCGAGATACTGAAGGACGGCGACACTGCCATAAACCCTCACTCTTCCCGAACTCTGCGCGTACAGCGCTTTGATAATGTTTACATATTTATCGGACACACCTTTTCTCAGCAGACAGTCCCAAAGGGCACATCGATCCATCGAATCGAAGGCACCTTTGATATCGAGAAACATGACGATGGTGAGTAGCCAATAAACATGGCGATGCTCCAACAATTGATGCAAAGCGAAGGCATAGTCGATCCAGCCACGATTTCGATGAAACCCGGCTTGCTCTTCGTGGATGTGGCCTTCATCACCGCCAGTCGGTCTGTGGAGAACGACAGAGGCAAGTAATTTAGAGGCAAATGAGATCAGACTGATTCTTCTATGGTTGCCGCATTCCGAACGGGAGCCACTCCTGAAAATTGGGACTGTGACGGAGTGGCTCCAGTCTGTCGGGACAGTTTCCTGTTCCCAAAGTTCTATTAGCAACTCGTATAAATCACCCACAAGAGCAGATCCTCCGAATTTGTAGAGCTGGGGGAATTCTATCTGCACCAGCGGCCTTATGCTATCTCAACAGTCTGATCTCACGTTCAACTACTGCGCGTGAGGGCGGATCTAAGGAGACGGCCCATGGAGAAGGGCACTCAATGCCCGAAAGAGTAACCGATAACTCAGATTGGTTAAACTGCCTTGCAAAGTGTTCGGCCCAACGTTCCAAGCGTTTTGACAAACTGTGGATCGGCTGCCTACTCCTGTCGCGTATTGTCTCGTTAACAACAGGTCTTCTGTTGCCTATTTCCCGTGGCAGACGGAATAAATTACGAGGATTACCAACGGCAGCGGCTGTTTCCATCTCCGATGCACGATGAGACCACCAGGCTTCGCGGTCTCTTCACGCTAGCATGCAGATTTGCCCGAGATTTTTGCGAGCCATTGTACTAGCTTCCAGTGGGAATACGTCGGCGAGCATCCATAAGTTCCAGAGACTTTGTGGAGACCTAAATTCTAGGTTGGGAATTTGATTTGTCACAAGACATGCCCGCTGATAGTAACGTTTGACGAATATGCGACCAATAATCCTCGACAGTGTTCAGGGAAGGCTTACTCACGCCAGATGCCAGTGTAGTTTGATACGCATTCAGAACACCCGGCTTCGCCAGCTAACTGGTGTCAGTGCGCTCGGAGCCTCTATACATATCAGCACAGACCTGGTGCACTGATGACATAGTAGCCTACATAGCTCTCGTAGCACTAGCAGCAATGATGTAGGTCTCGGAGCCTCTATACGTATCTGCACAGACCTGTTGCATTGAGAGCACCAAAAATGTCCGTCAAGAGGCATCTATAGCTAGATGTTTAAAAGCACTGGGACGATGCGGATATGATTCCATACATATAGTAACGGAACTGTCAAGAAACGCATGTGCACAGATAACATTTCCGGAAACGTTGTCGTTCAGACCCATTCAAAGTGCTCACGCAAATGTGCCGGACACGTCATATGCGTCACGTCAACACAGCGGATCACTAAAGCGTGGGGTAAAAGTAATGTACCTAAAGGAAAACATT